AGTTACGTTTCCTATAACTATAGTTACGTTTCCTATAACTATAGTTACGTTACGTATAACTATAGTTACGTTACCTATAACTATAGTTACGTTACCTATAACTATAGTTATCTTATTTATAGTTACTATTCAGTTCATCATTTTTTGTTATTATCAGTTATGAATTGGTAGTTTAATACGTAATTTTATGTATCTACTGTTATATATTAGGTTTCTGTAAGTTTATAGGTGAATTAAATATCCTTCGTTACTCGATAATAAAAGACCTTTCTGTAGATAGGAGAATTTTTAAAATCGATTGAGTAGTTTTTGAGTTTATCGATTACCATTTTTTTATTTTTTATTATAAATTAGTTTTTGAGTTTAACGAGACATTTTTTTTTCTTTTCTATTATTAACATCGATAGATTTGTATGGTCTCAAGGATATAAGAGATTTTTATTTAGAATGACCATTGGAAGCTTTGTAATTTTATTAATTCTGTATGTCTACTTATTAAATTATGATTAAATTTTAGTGTCAGACATATCGATTTACAAAATGTGTAGCGGAAATTATTGGTAATATATTTTTTTATAATTTCAAATAAATTATAATTATGCATGCAATTTTGTATGAAATTTGTTTTTTTTTTATGCATAAAAATGTAACTGGCATGCAAGTAAATGTAGTCAGGTAACATATTAAAAAAAATAACCATTTTTTGAATGAGAACGCATGCTTTTTGTTACAAGCTTAGTTAGCATGGCGTGATGTTGAAATATAATTAGGAATAAATATTCAAGTAAAAATCAAATTTAAAGTCGTATAAGAAAGATTGTTGCATGAAAATATTGAATTAAATTTTGAAAAATCATTCATGAAATAATCTTAATTTTAATATTGACAATTGTAAGTCTGCAGCTCGCTATTTAAGTAAAAAATAAACTGATCCCAATAATCGATCTTCAAGAGTGATTCAAAGTTTATTTAAATAGCTGTAGTATTAAGAATAAGAGTTAGTAGCCTATGTGTTCTTCCAGACTATGTTCTATGTATGCCAAACAGCGAGATTCATGCAGCCGTTCTGAAGATACCTTCAAACAAAATTCACCCATACATCTAATCCCCCCGCATTTTAAACGTTAGGCTACGTTACTCAATTGCTGTTGCAATTCTTAAATCGGTTACATATCAAAGAAATTGATATTTTAAATTAAAAACTTATACCTTAAAAAGGATCCAGATCGATTATTTGGTTTGGTTATTAATTATAAAAATATAATATGTTTGTATCAAATACTCATAAATTATATATTAAATAGGTTGCACAAAGACAACAGAGTCAACAAAGAGTTGTTACACCATCAACTTCTAACGCAGTTGTACAACCCAGTGTATCGGTAAGACCATAACTTTATTTTTATAGATAACGGTAAAATTATTATACTTTTTATATAGCTAATACATGCTGGAATTTTACTAGACTACTTTTTTCTGTGACGATGTCGCTGGCGTTCATCCATCCATTTTGCATTTATGATATTAGTAAGATTGAAATTTTACGTTTAATACTTAGTATATGTATTTTGTAGGGAATGGAGGTGGATCCTGAGGCATTGATCAAATGTACTACAATAACTCCGGGCGGTGTTGCCAGCAACACGCCTTTGCAAGGGGATAAGGTAAATTGTAACTGTTAGGAAAATCCGACACAGTGCCGGTGTATCGCATCACTAGCGTTACTAAAATATCGACGATTATATCCCCTCACTATTCATTCTGACATTTGACTTTGTAATGAATTCGCGCCAAAGGATTGTAATTAATAAATGTCTAAAATAAAATTGATAAAATTAAACCTCAAGTTAACAGTTCAAATACTAAATATTGTAAAATATTGAGTTTATAATTATTTATTCTCTTCTTACAGGTCGTGATTACATCAGACGAAGTTTTAGGTACATTTTTATTGTAATAACTAGCTGTTGCCCGCGACTGTCCGCGTGTAATTAAAAAAAATCATCATAAGTAGCCTACGTGTTCTTCCAGACTACATTCTGGAGATAACTCCAAACAAACATCTATCCATCCATCCATCTAAACATTCGTATTTATTAAAAGCATTATTTCAATTTACTTAGAACATCTCATAATATTGATATTTTTCATTCCAGTTCCGAAAGAGGAACCAGTACAAATTCAAATAGACGAACAAGCGCAATTAACTATAGTAAGTAATGTATCATTAACTTTAAAAATAAACATGTTTTTTAATTTTCAAACGAGTGAAATTAAAAAAAAATCTGGTTGTCTATGACATATTCCAGACTTTAGTCTAACTGTGTTCTAAATATAATTAAGATTCGTAAAGCCGTTTGTGATATATGTAGTAACAAACATCCATCCATACATTTAAACTTTCGCGTTTATAATATTATGTATTATATAAAATATGAAAGTGTACTTTTTTTAATATGAATAAAATTTTAATTTCTTACAGAAAACGGCACAAAATAAAATGCTAGCGGATTTATTAGAGAAAAAATCCAATCCACCTGTACAGATTGTACAAATGAACCCACAAATGAACGCTCCGACCATACAAATAACGGAAACCGGTCAAATTGTACAAGTTAAATCCGAAGCGAATCCGATGATACAAATAAACGCAGACACTGCCAGTCAATATTATCAAATAAAGAACGAACAGGGCCAATTAATTCAAATTAAGAACGAACAAGGACAAATAGTACAGGTTAAGAACGATCAGATACAAAACTCGATGTTGCAATTCAAGAACGATCAGGGCCAAATCGTTCAGATTAAGAACGACAGTCAAAGTGTACAGGCCGGTCAGATGTTGCAGCAAAGCGTCGTACAAACTGGTAAAATTGAAAAGGACCAGATAATGGATACGGTGGTGACTGATCATTCCTATATAGAGCCGCCAACGAAAAAGCTAAAGATTGAAGAAAAAAAAGAGGTATTTTTGATATTATATTTTATTATTACTAGCTGTCGCCCGCGATTCCGTCTGCGTGCAATTAAAAAGAAACTTATTTAGTAGCCTATGTTCTCTTCCAGACTGTGTTCTACACCCGTGCCAAATTTTAGCAAGATCCATTCTGGAAAACCTTCAAACATCCATCCATCCATCAACCAATACATCCATCCAAACATTCTCATTTATAATATTAGTAAGATTTCTGATTTTTTTTTCATCAGATCTCCGGTTATTTGCAATTATATTTCAAATTTTATATAATAGAACAATACGCATTTTTTATAGGGCAATACACCTCAAGAAAGTGTCTCCAAGACAGCAGCTAACTTGTACGCCGCGTTGGCCGCGTCCGCGTTAGAAGACGAGGAAGATCTGGTAAGTTACCTTTCTAGTTTCACCTACCTCCTTTAACACAAGACTTGAATATACCTCGTTTCAATCCAACGATAAAATTTAATAGACAAACTTCGAATTTCAAAATGGCGGCTATTATGATATTTAACTTTTTTTTTAGTAATATTGTGAAAAAAATAGAAGTGATATTGCTAAACAAGATTAAATAATGTTAATATCCAAATAAGGAAGTGTTTCATCTTTTTTTTTGGAATATTTTGCGTTGTAGCATTATTATGTACTTTGGCTACGGTTTAAATTGGTGATAGGAACAAGGTATAGTATTAACCGTTGGTTTCTGAGACCAGAACACTAACCTTTGATTTCCGAGATCAAAACGTATGTATAAAACATATCGTCATCCCTGTCATTATCTTTGACAAAATAGAGATAGCATGTAGTAGAGTAGAGGAGATTTTGGTCTCAGAAACCCACGATAACTGGTATTGATGTATTACTAACATGGTTATAATATTCTTTCATGTCTGTAGCGGCCTGGACTTATGTTACCTGGATCTCTACGCAAGGTTTTAAAAGAGCTTGTTTTTTCCATACTTTTTTTTTCATAGCTCTTCTATTCATTTGCATTGTAAGCATTGTATAAATTAGGTCTAAGATCTAATCTAGATTTAGCTTTTTTTACTAGTTATTTGATATTGGTTTTAAGTTGAGTTTTCAGTAACTTAATGTTGGATTTTAATTTTTAGAAAATTTATTTTCGACAGATACCAAATAAACAAGAGCCCGCAGAAGTTCCGCCTCCAGTGTTGGTGGCGGGATCATCTGATACTGGTTCTGTTATTATACAGGAACCATTGCTTCAGGTGGGTTTTTGAAGCGATTTCATAATATCAATCTCACATTTCATTTCTATTACAAATATATATCAATTTTTTTTATATAATAACTAACGTTAGCCCGCGACTCTGTCTGTACGGAATAAAAAAACATAATTAGTACCCTACGTGTTTGTTCAGACTTTGTTCTAAATCTATGTCAAATTTTAGCATCATCCATTCAGTCGTACTGGAGATACCTTCTAACAAACATCCATCCATCTATACTTACACATCTATATCTTATTATACACATAAAAGAAAGTCGTGTTAGTTACACTATTTATAACTCAAGAACGGCTTTACCGATATAGCTGAAAATTGGTGAGGAGGTAGCTTAAAGCCAGGAGACGGATGTAGGATACTGCTTATTCTTTTTTTTCGAATTTATGCCTTGAATAACTGCTTTTTAATTAACTTATATTATAAATGCGAATGTTCAGATGGATGTGATGTGGATGGATGGATGGGTGGACTACACTAATTATTTTTTTTTATATAATATATCCACGCGGACGGAGTCGCGGGCGACAGCTAGTTTATAATATTATAATAGTAAGATAAATTCTTGTACATTTCGAATGTTTTACCTAAACTATGAATATGTAGGTGCATCAGCCCAGCATGCAAGTCCAGCAACCCACCATGCAAGTACAACAACCCACTTTAGTCCAGCAACCTACCATGCAAATACAGAACTCACCAATGCAGGCGAGTATACAAATTTGAATTTAAAATATATGAACATAAGTCTTATTTTAGAATATCCGGCTACAGTATGATGTCATAAAACCTGTGTTTTCCAGATGCAGCAACCGACATTACAAATGCAACAACCTATGCTGCAAGTTCAACCTATGGATGTTCAGAATATTCTAGCCTCGCAGTCAGGACAGATTATACTGCAAGGTAAATACACTATACAGACAAATTCTATACTAATTAACCATCCGATCTCAAAAAAATACCTTTATAACGCTGTAATCATACGAGTTTATAAACAGACTTTTTTGTAGTATAAATTAAACACAGATACTTTGGGAACTAAATCTATTTTACTAATATTATAAATAAAAATGTTTGTATGGATGGATGGATGGATGTTTGTTTGAAGGAATGTCCAAAACGGCTGTATGGATCTCGCTAAAATTTGGCATGGGTGTAGTAACAGTCTGGAAGAACACATAGACTACTAAGTTTTTTTTAATTTAATTCTACGGGGACGGAGTCGGGAGCGACAACTAGTAATATAAATGCGAATGGATGGATGGATGTTTGTTAGAAGTTACCTCCAAAACAGCAGCATGGATCTAGCTGAAATTTGGCATAGATGTAAAACAGTCTGGAAGAACACATAGGCTACTAATTATTTTTTTATTATAATCGTTTTTTTTTTAATATTATGTATATTTTGCAGGCGGTTTGGGTTACATAGCCCAGAATATACCTGGGAACATGATGCAGAAGACAATTATAATAGTCCAAGGTCCAACAGGCGGAGGTCCACTTACACTTACGGTAAGTGTACAAGAAAATATACAGATTTTATATCATAAAATTGCAATGTTACGATTTTGTCTCCGTTATCGTCATAGAGAACAAAAGGGATGTCAATATGTTTTATTATAAAAGTGTAACTTTTTTGTAAGAATGTTTGTTACTTTTATTTTAAAAAAACATGCTTAATGAAGATTAAAATAAGATATTTACGTACGCAAGGTGAACAACCCAGCGGGTCTGGACGAGGCGACACTAAACAGCCTTATTACCCAAGCAACAGAGGCGATAACGCAACAGCAAATTATCCAGGTTAAAAATACCCGTAGAAATCGCGCTTCAAAACACTTCTCAGCTAACTCTAATATTAACATTTCGGCACAAAATCATTCATTTTGAGCACAATGCGTTCATTTCTAATTGCTTACTAGTTCTATCTATGCTAAAACTAAAATTAACAAACAAAAAAAGGTAACTTCATCAAGGAAATTCCACGTTCCTATTACGTTCATCATTTTTTTTTATTTTAATGTACTAAGTTTTCATGTTTATTAAAAAAAAAAATTAGATGCTTTGAAATCATCTCATAGTAGCGCTCTGTTTAGAAAAATACTCTTAATGGTCCGTTCAGACAGACGGAAGCGGAGAGTAAAGCAGTTTTTCAATGCAAATAAAATTAAGCTTTACGCGATTGAAATAAGGTTTATTTTTACTTTGCACGTCCTTTTTTACCAAGAGCAAGGGTAAAAAGGAAGTGAAAAGCAAAAGTAATCCTTGTGTCATTCGCTTAAAGCTCAGTTTTACTTGCGCTAACTGCTCTGATCTTCGTCCCTGTCTGTGTGAACTCTCATGAGACCAAATAAAGGAATCCGTCATTTAAAACTGAAGACTACTGTTTAATACTCATTCTTAATTTAAAAATTAAATAAATATTTTATAAAACCAAGGAACTTTTGGCTGTTTTTTTTATTAAATAGGTAATGTAAATATTGTTTAAATAATAAGCTGAATACTAAATATATCTTTCTTATATGACACAGAGCCTGTAAATAAGCAACATTTAACATAATTGTTTAATTAATTATATATTAACTTTCGTCTAATATTTTCTTTCTCCTATATAATTTATATTATTTTGTATACAAAGTATTAGTAACACAAATACTTTGTATACTTTTTATATTGTGTATACAAAGTAATTGACCTTTTACTACAAATTATACAAACGTTGCCAATACCTATGTGTTCTGTGCACAGAACACGGGCGTAATACAGTCGACTCAGAGGGTGATTGTGAGCCAACCGACACTAGTCAGCACTTCACAGCCCATCACTATGGTCAAAACGGCCATAGCACAGGTTAAAAATAATTTAAAAGTAGATACATTGATAATGCTTCGATAGTTTTAATCTTGGCATGTTTATTTTTTTATTACATGTTAAAGCAAATTTAATTAGACATATTTGATTTTTTTTTTAATTTATATTCAAGGTATTATCGCTATTACGAATTGCCTTTATAAGTTTTTTTTTCTTAATTTATTGACAAATTGCTTGTAGTCATAGAACTTTATATCAGGACAAATTTTTTCATATAAATGGGAGTTTGGTGGAAAGGTTTTTTTTGTTTTATTTTTTTAAATGGAATTTTGGGTTATGCGGTTTATAATATGGTAAGATTGGGGTTTTAAGGTTGCATGGAAATGAGGGATTAAAAAAGGTAAAAGGATATTTTTTGTCATAAAAGATTCTCGCTAATAGTGAATTACTAGTAGAATAGTTTACACTAATAGTGTATTTATTCGGTCTTGTATAGGAGAATAATAAAAATGAGAATATGTATATTTGTGTATACAGTAAGCTGTATAAATATGTATACATTTACAAAGACTTCAGAAATTTGTATACGCTTTTGGTTTTAAAAATATGATATGTACATGAGTACGTGTTCTTGACGAATTTGTGCATAAGTATTTTTGAAACCGAAGCTGTATACTGTCTAGTTTTGTAAATGTATACATTTTATGCAGCTGACTGTACAGAACTCTGTCTCTGTCTACCCCTAATGGTAGTGCAGGAATGCTTCAATCTTATTTTTAATCTTGCACGCTAGTGTTGCTTTAATTTTTGATTATTTTTTGCAAGTTTGATGGTTATATTGTTAAATTTCAATTATTAGTGTAGTGCAATTATTTACAAAACCGCTACTATTATATACTAATCGTGAGTTTCTGAGATGAATGTATAATGTGTCTCCATTTAAAACATACTGTTATCTCTGGGTGACGATATATTTTACATAGATATTTTTGTCTCAGAAACCCACTGTAAAACTTTATTATTGAAAGTTATTTATACAATTAATTGCTATTCACAGAATACCCCACAAATAACGGCGAGTCAACAACCAATAATAACATCACAGCCCCAACCACACAAAGCACAAATTGTCTCACCACAAACACAACAAATTGTCGTATCGAAACAGGCTCCTGCATTAATCAGTACTTCGACAAGCAACCAGATTATACAAAGCGGCAATCAAATTATACAAAGCGGCAATCAAATTATACAAAGTGGCAATCAAATTATACAAGGGAATCAACAAATTATTGCCGTATCAAACAATCAGCAGATCATAATGAACGCACCATTGAAACCCGGCGTGCATAGAGTAATGCAGCCACAGAGGTGTCAAGTGGTCAGTACGGTGACACAGCCTGTTGTAGCGCAGAGTGAAGCCAAGACAACTGTTATACAGACTAGTCCTGTAAGTCATTTTTACTAACAAATGTGCAAACATCAGTCTTATTGCCTACGTTATAAGACTCATTATCATGTAGTAAATTCAGTTATATTTATAGGAGAATTGTTAAAGAGATAGCAAACAACATAGAAAAGAATTAAACATAGATATAGACTCGCCATGTCCACGTGTTATTAAAAAAACCTTAATTAGTAGCCTATATGTTCTTCCAGACTATGTTCTATATGTATGCCAAATTTCAACAAGATCCGTACAGCCGTTCTCGAGATACTTTCAAACATCCATCCATCCAAATATTCGCATTGTATTGAGTATTCAAGGAATGTTTTTTTTTATAAAGTTTATAAGGAGTATTGTTGCAAAGAGGTTTTTTTATATATTTTAGAAACCACAGCAACCTATCATGCGGCAAGTAATCACACGGCAACCAATAATGGTGGGGAACACCAAAATAGGCGATAAAGAGGTCGTCACCCAAACTGTTGAGGTAAAGATTATATTATATCTTACTAGCTGTCGCCCGCGACTTCGTCCGCGCGGGATTAAAAATAGATGTTGGTCGATTCTCAGACCTACTCAATATGCTCACAAAATTTCATGAGAATCGGTCAAGCCGTTTCGGAGGAGTATGGGAATGAAAACTGTGACACGAGAATTTTATATATATAAGATGAATCTTAAAGTATTTTATATATTTTTTTTTATGACAGAAGCCACCGACTCCGAAACCGACAGTGACACCGCCGCCCATTGCCTCCACGTCTTTATCCGCTGATGACACACCCTGGATATGTCATTGGAGAGGTTGTGGCAAGTAAGTGATACATTGCCAAAGTACAGTTTATTGCCAAGTTCACAAAGTTATAATATTTGCCAAAACTTTATTCGTACAAGTAAACGCTAAAAATGAAAACTCATGAGAGAATCGCATTTATAATATTACTAGCTATTACCCGCGACTCCGTGCGCGCGGTATTAAAAAAAAACTTAAATAGCAGTCTATGTCTTCTTCCAGAATGTGTTCTGTGTTTATGCCAAATTTCACGGAGATTCGTTTAGTCGTTCTGCAGTTACCTGGTAACAAATATCCATCCATTAAAACCATTTGCATTTATAATATTAGTAGAATTAAGAAATAACATTTTTTAGGTCTTTCCCTAATGCATCGGAAGTATTTTCTCACGCTGCGAAGACGCATTGCCCGACGGCGGCGGGAGGCGAGGCGCCCTGCATGTGGCTGGACTGCGACCGTGTGCCGCGCAAGACATTTGCCCTCCTCAACCATCTCACAGACAAACATTGCACGCCCGCTGTGAGTTATACCCCAATACGACTTTTAATAAACCCAAGCAATCCCCATCAGCCTAATTTTCTCCATCCCATCCTTTTCTTGTTGCTTAATTGTAGTTCCTTTCCTTTTATACCCTTTTAAAGAAATTATTAAGGGTAGGCAAAGCATCTGTAATTTCGGATGTCTATGGGAATTTTAGTCATTTCGTTATTTCGACGAATTCAGGAAAAAAAAGAGTAAACCCCATGAATAGTCCAGGAAAGAACACGAATCATTACTAATATAAGGAAAAAAAACAGAAAATTACGTTGTTTTATTACGTTTTAAATTTTGAAATAACTCAAGGTCATATTTAAGTGATAATGAACTTTGTTACAAGGCATTAAAGGCGATATTCAATTCGCGTCGACACGCGCTAGCGGAGGCGGAGGCGGGCAAGCCGGTGTCGCTCGGCTATCCGCCCAACGCCGCGCTTGCTGCAC